GGCACCGGTCACTGAGCTTGGGTGGTGCAAGGGGGGCCCCCCATGCACTCCTCAGCCAACCTGTAAGTGAACCAGAAGTGCTTTTGGTCCACTTCCGGGTCAGCCGTTGAGTGCACTGGGGACTCCCCTGCCCTCCTGTGGGATGCTCCATCCGCCCCAGCATCACAGCTTTGACAAGCCTCCTGGTACCTTGAGGTATGTAGAAAAAACATTTAAAGATGTGTCTATGTCCGAATCATCGAATCTTTCCGAATCGATTTGGAGGGTTCCGATTCGATTCAGAGAGATTAAAGGGTCTCCCGATTTGATGCGGATTTGAAGATTCGGCTGATGAATTGGGCTGAATCTCTGCTGAATTGAGTCAGCGACTGAAGCTTCGCACAACCCTAGCGACCACATCACCCCTGGATCCACCCCTGCCATGGCATTACTAACTTCCAAGTCAGTAGGTTTGCAGTTCTGACTCACTCATGTCCCCAACTACATTGAGCTTAGAGTACTGTGGAACTTGAACTGGAGATTTTGGGTGTGGAAGACAATCAAGTCAGAGACAAAATTTAAGGAATAATGAGCCAACGCTGTAGCAAGACAAGCCCACAGCATGGCTTCTGCCCTGAACACCTTACAAACTGAACAGGCAAGGCCTACAATGGGAGGGGAAGGGACTTGCCTAAAACTACAGAGGAAACCAGTGACAGAACTTGGGAAAGAGGCTTGTCCTCTAGCATTCCAGTCCAGTGCCCTGCATATGGATGAGACCTCTCTTATAGACGTAAGTCAGGAAAAGCCTGTCCTCAGGAATGCTGTCTGTTGATGAAGCTTTCAACCACTGCAGCTGGAAGGCAGTAGGTCTAATGAGGCTGAAGGTACTGAAGATACAAATCTATGTTCCTCTGATGGGAATGGAATCTAACATGGACAGGGATTCATGTAAAAACCCACAAGCTTTGGAAAACTCCTTGAGACTAGGGACTCCATTTACTCCTGAGTTAGAAGGATGCACCGACTGGGGAAGGAAGTGAGGAAATGTGTCCATCCCCCAAACCAGGCAAAACGTTTCTACGATTGCCCTCCTGTGAGAGAGGACAGTGGCAAGGTAGGAATTCTGCATCCCTGAGGAGTATGTATGTATGGGGGGGGTGTGGTATATGTATATGGTGTGTTGGGGGGGTCCTTATGAGGGGAGCAAAGAGTTGTGGCTGGTGTTAGGGGGATGTGTGTGGGAGGGTGTGTGGCTGGGGTGTGGGCGTTGGAGTGTTTGTGTGGGAGGGTACGAATGTGTGTGGGATGTGGATGGGCGGGGTTTGGAGGTGGGGGATATAGTGTGTGGGTGGTGTTGGATGTGTGTGGGGGGTAGAGAGTGTGGTATGTGGGGGTGTGGCACCCACATGGCAGGAAGGTGCTGAGTCAGTGCACTACCTTTCACTTCCTAGCTGCTCTTTGGCTTGAACTTGCTGAAGAGCTCCCAAAGAAGGGCTATTATTCTTCAAAGCAGCTTTGTGACAGCCCCTCTGGGCTCTAAAGGCTAATGCCAACATAACCATGTGTGGTAAGAACCTGGTCTTAAAGAATTCAACAGCAGTGCTGCCCCGTCCATGGTGCTACCATAATGCACGCTGTCAAGTCAAAGTCTTGATAGTCCTTAGTACTTAACTTTACCACAATCTCTTCCATGTTGGCAGGACTGTTAAGGAAACAAAAAACTTTAAAAGCTACTTTAGTTCTCAGCCTCCCAGGGGGCCAAAATCAGCCATTTCACATACAGTACATGTTGACTCACTAATAGGTAAAATGTTGAAGTCATCTGACCTATGAAGAGACCTCCACACATACAAAATCACATCTGTTGGCCACCTCCAAAAAATTTCACTATCTTTCAATTTTGACATTTGGCACTTGCCTCTTAGGACAGCACCTATGCTATACCTGGGAGCATCACCATGAGGCATGTCCTGTCCACTTGCTTCTACTCCATGTGCACCAACTCTCACAAACAAGGTAATGCAAACCCCTCAATGTCAGCTTTAACACAGGCCCAGTGCCATCCATAGATTGGCTGCCTTGAGCATGTATGCTGAGAGCTCTACCTCATTGCCAGGACTGGATCCATGCAGAGTGGGAGTGAATGAGCAGGGCAATCTTGGGTGCAGCTGGAATTATTAAGCAGCAGCTTAAGATGAATTTGCTTGAAGTCTGTGCCATTAGAATGCATGGTCTTCTGGTAGGCTGCTGTCTCTACTTATTCTGCAAAATGTTCGACATACTTCGGTGCTCAAAAATACAGTAGTAATAAATAACTAGGTAGTTTCCCTACTGGCACATAGTTTTAATGTACAAAATGCTGTGTGGTTTTATTGCTTTTTAAGTAAAAAATAGCCACTGCTGCTGGAACCCAAGTGGAAATCAGTATTTGGCAGGAAATTGGATTTCTGACTCTTCTTGTCACCTAAAAGGTGCTTGTGGGGAAGGGAGGATTTTCCAGAGCAGGAGATACAGGAAGCTTTTTTGTAATCAAGCAGCAAGACTCTGAATTCAGTTTTTTTAAACAGAAGTAGCAAATGGCTATAGCTGTAGGTAATTGCAACTGGAAACATACAACAGCAGTTGCCTCTGACTAACTCCCCTTCACTTACAAAGAGTTGAGCTTTCAATTGCGAGTGGACTAACTGTACCTTCAAGAATATACGCACTAGGATTAGTATTGCTGAGAGCCCTACCTCATTGCCAGGACTGGATCCATACAGAGTGAGAGTGAATGAGCTGCAGACAATAAGGAACCCAGGACTTTAATGGACCTCCTAGGTCTTGAGTCTGGTTCCCTGCTACCACAGGCAGCCACATTACCCAGCTTCTACCTTCTATGGACACACACACAAGGCTGTAACAGTGCCTGGTACCCCCTGACTGTATGGCTCACAATATCCTTGACAAGGGCTGTTTATGGTAGAAGACTGCATCTTCCCCTTGCCTTGCATCTAAACCTATAGAAAATAAGGTTGAGCTAATAATGTTGCTTGACAGTTCAGAGACCTGATTCAGCGGTGTAGAGAGGTGTGGGCTGTCCCAGGCTACATAGCAAGTGATGTCCAAGTACCTATATTTCTTGTAGGGGTCCTACCCTGTGGCTGACAGTATTCTTAACCCTGTATCTAATCCTTTGTAGCTTCTTACAAGTAATTAGCAGAGACAAGAATGGAAGATTCCAGTCCCAGTGGAGTTATCAGTGAAAGCAGACATTTATAAACAGAAGCTGTTTTGATATACACACACGAGATAATTTACTGAGTTATAACCATGGCTACTGCACTTTAATACCACTGTGAATGCTGCCAGGGTAGGTTACTTCTAGTTCAGTGAAATTAAATTTCCAGCACTAAGTACAATATACAGATGGGTGCTTCAGAAAAACTGGATATCCTATGTCAATATCAGCAGTCTCTTCTCTCATTTTAAGGCTTAGAGAAATGCATTTCAACAGTCTGTAAGATGTCTTTGTCAAATCAGAAACTATAAATACAATGATACAGTAACTGCTGAATCTATCCCAAGACTGAAAGTCTATTATCTGCACAAAAACTCAGCACAAACAAATAACAATAGTTTCTAGACATGATACAAATATTACACTTGTGGTAGGTAGTAATCCACTCAGACACCTACTCAAATGATGTCCCAGCTTCTTTCCAGTCCATCAATCTACCATCTTCTCCACGTAATGAATAAAAGTTCTGTCAATGCATTTTCCCCCAAAAGCCACAAAGACCAAAGCAGCCATTGAAAATATTATACTAGACTGATATGATAACAGTCTTTATTTTGTTTTGAGCGAAGTTGTAAAAGAGAGCCTGGAGCTCCTGTTACTTTGAGAGAGAGACTGCAATAGAAAGAGCCCCAGGCAGTTTAACAGGGGTTAGTTGCAGGAGGGAAGAGAACTGTAGCCTAGGTTCAGAAAGCTGCCCATTAGGATGAAGGGTCACACCTGTAGATGGTCAAGAAAACACCTGGCTGGAAGGGGAAGGAGCCCAGGGAATATAAACTTGAGTTCCTGAGGCAGAGGGGCAGCGTAGCCCTTAACTCTGTAGACAGAGGAGCTCATGCCAACTCATACTGGGGAGAGGGAGCTGCAGGCCATGGCAGGTACTCCCAGGGCAGAGGGAACCAGAGTGGGAAGATGGCCTGGCAGTCATATGACAACTCAGAGAGGACCTGTTCTAGTTTACACTGAAGGACCAGAGGTGGCTATCAGGGGAGGGCAGGAGGACACATGGGTGCCTGAGGGGCATGCTAGGCTGATCCCTGCCAGGGGCAATGGTGCAAGGGACAGACAGGCTATGGCCAAGATGGTCAGGGCCTGAGCCCAGAGACAGCAACAAGGGCAGCAAGGGGCCAACAAGAGGCAGAGACTGGAAAGGCCAGGCCAGACCCAATGGGCCTAGGCTACCAGTCAACAGCCAAAGTAACCTGTAGGCCAAAGCTAAGAAGGTTGAAGCCTATACAGGAAGGCAAAATGGTGACTGAGTGACATCTGCAAGGCATAGGCGTGGCTATGGGGGTGGCAGGACGCCACAATGAAGAGCCCTAAGGCTTAAATACGGGCTATTTGGGCCACAGGTGGTGACCACTGGTTCACAGTACCAGCTAGGCACCAGTAGGTCCACCAGGGTGCAAAAAACACCCCCGGGGAACCATGTTGTTTTGGCTAGTGGACAGAGGACCCAGCAATCAAGAGAGACGAGTCAGGTTAGGCAAAGCACTGGTGAGGGCACTCTGGGACTCAGGGGCAGCCTCTCAATTAATATCAAGGAACATCAAGGGAACATCAAATTACTATTCTAAAAAAACCTAACTCATCTATCTGTGTATTAAAAGGGCTTATTTTTAATTGTTACTGGAAATTCAAAAAGACTGGATGTGAGAACATGCCTCAGCTGAAACCCCCTCCAGGCTGCCACATTTCCTACCTGTACACAAGGGACAGAGAGACTGTTTCAGCTACTTACTCTGTAAATCTCTTCCAGCAACAGCTTTGCACAGTTCTGACCAAGTTCTTCTGGGAGTACAGCAGCTCCCTGGCCCTGAGGGTTAGAAGCCAATTCAGCACTGAGAAAAGTGCCATTGATGGTTTCTGCAACAAGAGACAGGCCAAAACCTGGAGACCTGAAAGAGAATGACAAAACCAAAAGATGTATTTGAAATTTAAAAGATAAAAAGCTAAACTACTCTCATTCTAACCTACCCATAAAGTCTCCAACATGCTTCCTTAGAGTAACTGGTTAGCCAACAGCATTTCAGAATTCAATCCAGCAAAACCTGTCCTTTTCGCTAGCCCTTACACTCTTCACACTTAATAAGCTAAAGTCTAATAAATGCTCTTGAAATATTCATTTCGCCCACCTTTGATTGCTGCTGTTTCTGAAGCAACCGACCTCACTAACGGTCAAAAACAAAACTAAGATTTCTTAAAGAACCATCACTTAATGCTTCTAGATTTGGCAAAAACCAGTATACAAAGTAGTCTGCTGGCTGTGAAAACCAGTGAAAGCTTGGAAAAGTGTCTCTTGCACAAACATGCAAGACAGTGGCTGGGACAAGACTGGTACAAAGAATATTAAACTCTGCTAATGGCTTGCAACCCATTAGGTGTAAGAGAGGGTGGAGCTTGTGGTACTCAATACCAGACCCATGCCATCTTTATATATAAAATCAAGGGTATATCTGTATGTATGTTTGCTTATAACTCAAGAATGGCTGGTCCTATCTACTCTAAACCTTCCAAAATCACTGAAGACCACTCAAGGAAAATTATAGGTGGGTTTCACTAAACCCTTTTTGGGGCTTCCAGTCACTATTTAAGGGAACAATGCTTTTCACACAGACAGTTATATGTGGCTTGCTTGAGAGCTGGTAGTCGAAGAGGGTTGTATGTACTGAGGTCAACAGGAAACACTACGAACACTGTTTACAATGAAGTTCTATAATAAAGATCATTTATTTGAATGTCACTTGAGATGTCACTTCACATTAAATATTAAATGTTAAATATGTTGTACTATATTCTTTAAAAATAAACAATATTTTTTACTTAAATATGTTGTACCAAGTTCTCTGAAAATAAACACTGCAATTACAAAAATAATGACCCGGGCATGGAACAGGTCCTTCCGCTAGTAAAATAATAAAAGTGATGGTTAAAATTGTTGGCAGAGACCTGACACTCATCACATGTGTATCTCCAAGCTAAGAAAGCCAGAGAAAGAGGCTGAGCCAGTGCAACTAGAGAAGGAAAGGAAACTACATATACATTTCAACTGAACCAGCAACTAAAGAAGACAAAACACTAAATGTACATTTCAAGCAAAACTTGTAAAAGGTGCATTGAATACAAGAAAGATGTCCTGTACGTGACATCCTCACATTTCTCCAAACAGGAATCCAATGTCTAAGGTGTTACAAATGTCTCAATCATTCATTGTATGTCTGGAGTTTTGTAAACAGACCATCACCATTACAAGTTATTGCAAATTTGCCCCATTAATAAACAAATACCCAAAGACCGGACCGGTAATCAAGGCTCTAAGCATCCTGTTTAACCACTCAAGACCCATCACCCGTAATTGATCTCTAATTTCAGGGGCTGCAAGAAACACAAGTCTTTACATCTAGACAAATCCAAAACCAGGATCCAGGCAATTTAACCTTTCTAATATGATGATATGACCCTCCTTTTCCTCCCCGTTTTGTTCAGACTTTAAGTGGCCACCCATCAAAGGAAAAATGCTTTGAAGCTATACAATTAAACAGTATAAGAATTAAGCAGATTTGCCAGCAATGTGTGTAGTCCTGGAAAGATCAAGAAGCCATACTGCACCACCCAGCCCATAAGTAAAGGCTGCAAGACTGAACCAGTTTCCCTGCTTGCACTGGTAAGAAAACACTATTGCACCTAAGATAACACAAGGACTATAGCTCATTGTATATGAAAGAGTCTTTTTTCTATCATTTAGCTTTGTAGCTTGTTGGTAGTTATTAAAGCAAGCCTTTCTGCTATTCATCAACCGAGTGTTGTGTTAATTCTTAGCACTAGGTTTAAAAACCTGTTTAAGTGCAACAGTCGACAGAGCTTTATCTCATCTTACTTGCTAGCTCTTTCCCCTTTCAGCTCAAAACAGGTGCAAACATCCTTGCTAGCAAGAATTTCAGAATTTATTCTGACAGAATTCCTGTGCTGCAAAACCCAGAACAATGCCAATATGCAATATTACTGTGTCTTACTGTGGATGTCAGAGGTGGGATTTTATCTTCCTTGAAATCCACAAACCACTGAGTTCAGTTTTACCAAGAAGTTCAAACAATACATTAACACATTTTTTAATTCATATAGTATTTTAATTTTCAGCTTTGGAAGAATATTAAAAATTGCCAGTTCAAAACAGTTTATTTCATTCTCCTCAACATAGCAGAGATGAACTAAGATAGTGTCACTAGTTTCCCTTTTCCAATAACACGGTACATGCAAACTACCAGTATTTGAACAGAGCATAGAAGCATATGCTCTTCAATGCTTCCAGGGCTCTGACAGAACTCCAAATTCTGCACCGTTGGCTTGTGCAGTACACTCAAAATATGCAACATACACAATATATAGCATCACAAATGGCATTAAGGATGATTTTTTACCACATGCAGTTCCCAGTGCACAAAACAAGGCAACTAGAATGCAAATGATCTATTTCAGATGCCCAATCATGACTGCAATTCAGGATCTTGACAGCAAATTCACATTTTCCCCATTCCCAGCACAACTTGTGTTTCAAAGTCAACAATTCTTCATTGACTACCCGAAGCACACTCATTCATTAGAAAGGTGTATGATACTTTTTTCCTCTTCCTTTAACAACAAATCCTAAGTACTCATGAAAATGTTTGCCTTCAAATAAAGTATCATCAATACCAGAAGACTGAGAAATGCTGGTATGGATAGATGGAACAACTACATTGCATTACTGACAGTATTTTCTCGTCCTAAAACGCTGCCATTTTTACACATGCAAGCACCACAGCACCGGGTGCTTTGAAAAGCACCTGGCACTTGTCTGTACTTAGTAATTAAAAGTGCCTTGACACAGCAGAATTCTTAGCACGATGTGAGTACTCGGTGCAAGGGATGCCTCGCTACGGCGGGAAAAGCCTTGGTGCAGTGATCAGCTCCCTCCAAAACTAGCAGTTGCACCGTTTGGATGCATGCTACCAATTGGCTCATCTTAAATTATTCATCCCCGGCGGCTAGCAATTGGCTCACTAGCCGTATAAAAGCTTGGGTAGTTTCCACCCAAGTCGGAGAACTCTGCGTGCACGTGGGGAACGAGTTCCTCGTGTACCTTGGAGCAAAATTGGAGGCCTGATCAACCACCAACCACTCCCCGTCGACGACCGTCCCGACGTACCCCGTACCCTGCATGCTCAGAAAACATCGGTGTGATTTTGCTTGTGCCTACATTGTGTGCATCGACGCAAGTCCCTGTACGTCAGTTTGTAAGTAAAGTTCTTTTCAATTCAACCAGTACGCATTTGTGCCTAATTCCACTCCATCGCAGCCCCATTCCGGCTATACTCGGCACCCACAGCACTGAGACGCTTGCAGTTGTATAATCGGTAAAATGAGCATCAGCGCTGAGAAAATGGTAGCGGCGTGCTTTTGAACTAACACACATCGGAGGTGCTTTAGTTCAAAAGTGCACCACTGCCATTTTCTGCACGCTGATGCACACTTCACCACTTATACAACTGCATACGGTGCAGCACAGTTCACCTCAGCTTGCGTAAGGAGCAGACTCGAACTCGATTAATCAAGTCTGCTCTGAAGCTGCGGATCTCCGGCACATAGTGGGACAGAAAACTATGTGTATATGTGCCCAGCAGTGTAAAGGGGCATGTGGAGTGATCACTGCCACTGATTCACAGTCATGGAATTGACCTCAATCAGTTTCAAGAAAGCGCCTCTGCCACATTAAGAGATTGATGCACACGTTTACACAGCATTTCAAATTGTATTCTGAAGACTTCTCAACATACCTTCTCTGTTTGTAATGGCTCTTCTAGAAGAAGCAAACCGAACTTGAATGTTACATCTTTAACTGCTAATGGACTAGTCACAAAACGAAGAGAAAAATCCACATGCACATCCACCGTCTCTCGCAAACTCACCAACGGACACAAAAATCAAAGCCTGTTTCCTTCTTTGTGCACATGATTTGTTTTAAACACTTAATGCAAAACAAAATCTTGAGTTCACATGGGTATTTGATTCTTTTAAAGATGAATACAGTAAGACAAACAGATCAAATGAGGAACTAAGTGCTGCAGACACTTATGCCGCAGCACAATTTTGCAGCGACAATTTCTGTGCAGGAGGCCCAGGAACAGAGACTAGCTGGCAAGAGTGAACAAGGAAGGGATTCTCAAGCCTGATAAGGAGCCCAGTTTCATTTCTTCAGGGTTGAGGGAAGAACAAACATGAGATTACTCGATAGAATAAAAGTCAATTGGGCATAAATGCAGCCTCCTTCTCTTTCAACCGACATGCCAGCCTTTTCCTTCAGGTCTCTTGCACCTCTCCCCTCACTCCTTGCCACTTTTGCATTCTAGATTTTGGATAGGCCTTTTTTGTTTCCCATTTCAGTCTATCACCTTCTTAAATTAAGCTACCTGCTTCCCGCTCTGGGGATGAAGGGTGATTTTTTTTGCCAAAACTCTCCATTTCCCCTTTCTGTCAGAGATCCTCTATCACACTAGTAATCCCAAATTTCCTCTAGAACAGTGTTTCTCAACCCAAGGGCCACGACCCAAAAGTGGGTTGCAAGAATATGTGGAAGGGTTGCGAACAAATTTTAAAAATGGATTCTCCTTTAAAGAAGAAAAACGTGGGAAATCAGGGCTTTTCCCTTGCAGACCGGCAGAGTTCCAGCCTGCCAGGGGCTGCTTGGGGCCCGCCATGCCCTACACCCACCCTCCAGCCCTCCCCGCTACCCCCTACCCCACACGGGGGGGGGATTGGGGCATGGGTGAGGGGGGCAGCAGGTTGGGAGTGAGGGACACTGGGTTGGGACTGGCCACCAATGTTTACAAATGGGTCCCAATACAAAAAAGGTTGAGAACCACTGCTCTAGAACATGTCAAGGCTTCAAAGGAGAGACAGGTCAAAAGCAAAGGCCACTAGAAAGCCCCATGAGGTACTTCCAGCCCTTACTGACTCAAATACACTAAAGCAGCAGGATATGCTTCAATCCAGCATGTACTGCTGTTGTAACATTACAGTAGATCCTCCACCATTGGCTGCCAGGATGTCCAAGGCAGCAATAGCTGGAACAGCCACTGCTGTACTGTCACTGCCTGACGCAGGGTTTTTGAACCCGAAAGCTTGCTTAATAACTTTTCTCCAACTATTTGGGTTGGTCTAATAAAAGATATCAAATTCACCCAAGGATTCTTGACTGCTGTACTAATACACTTTTGGCCAACTGAATTCTTTTCTTTACAGCTATAGAAGAAGTGATGCACACTGTAACGGTCTATGCCAGAGGTGGGCAAAATGCAGCCTGCCAGGCCATTCTATCCAGCCCACGGGGCCCCTAAAAAATTTAGAAAATTAATATTTAGCTGCCCCTGCCTGCCTGTCATGCGGCCCTCAATGGCTTGCCAAAACTCAGTAAGTGGCCCTCCGCCCGAAATAATTGCCTGCCCCTGGTCTAAGCATATTCTTTTGCTGTTACTAATTAGGGTTTATGCCGGCTGCCACTCTGTTCCCAATTCTAATCACCGAATGCAGTTCAGAGACTCAAACTGACTATATCTGTCTTTTCCTTCTGCTGTGCTCTTGCCAGCACTACTACAGAGCCAGTGAGATTACCCCTTTGCACATATTGGTGATCCCCACCCACATTTAACTGTCTGTGTTTATAGAGCAATGTGGGAAGTATATTAAGACCTTCCTTCTCTTCCTGACAGAAAAGGCATCCAAAGAAAAAGGTGGGAACAGTGCCATGAGAAGCCAAATCTTACCAGCTACCAACCTTGACAAATTTCTTTTCAGTAAACATGCTCTGTCTCTCTCATTAATTAGCAAAACCTGCATGTGGCAGTAAGAGATTTGGCTCACACAAATAAAAGTCTAAATCCCCCTGCTCTTGCAGAGGATATTAGCAACCATCTGCACCAACAAACCCTTCTGCAGTGTGTCCCCCAACACACAGATGAATATAACTCAGAATTTCTCTCCTCATTTTTAAAGCAACTTTCAGAACTGTAAAAGGTGCCAAGATGATGGATTCGCTGAAGCTGCTGGCATCCTGGAAGGAACATTGCTTAATCTTTTTTATCCCAAGAAACAGGGATAGTGCACACATGCTCAACTAACTGTTGCTAATCTTTTAATCCACAAGACAGGTAGGACACTGGGCTTTCCCAGCCCTGCCAACCAACACAGAGAAGCCAATCGCAAGAATGAGAATGGATACTGGTCCCCATGCTCATTTACTCAACCTCTCAGTGGCATCTGCCAATGCCAATGGTAATTTATGATAGAGACTTGTCTGAAAGCAGTTAGTTCTACTTCTTGTCATTTTATCACTCTTCACTTAATAGAAATCATGTACCAGAAGTAAAAGGCCTCCTAATGCCAGCTACTGTTCAAAACCCTGAGTCACAATGCCTTGTTTCCAGGGGTTTTCCATACAGTGGTGAAACAGGAAAACAAAAAAACCCCCAAAAGCCTTTCTTAGAAACTGAAACATTGACTCACTCTGCACAAAATAGTTTATAAATAGATAAGGGCTACTCTACACAGATGTTTAGACTTCCAAAAAAAATACTGTATTTTCTCATGTACAGCATATACCTTTTCCTCGAAATACGGAAAACACTGTACTAGTTAGGTTAGTTAACAATGTCAACATCACTTCCACCTAATTTTCAGAAGAGACAGGGGCCTCAGCTCACTGAAAGTCACTTGTGAGACCCCTTTAAAAAATTTGTGCCTAATCACATGCAAGAGGCTTTGAGATGTTCTGGTAAAAAGGCAAAGAGCTTGTTCAGTCAGAGTTGTCTGACTGAAGCTGTGTGCATTCAGCAATTTGGAAAATCCATCTTAAAATATTACATGCAGCTGTTGGCATAATAGGGGTAAAATGTAATTGTATATGTCCATAGCCATCATCATTGCAGGGTCCATGGACTTTAACATTATTCAAAGAATTTATCCTCACCATACCCCTGTGAGGAAAGTAAGCATTCTCATTTTACACATGAGAATCAGAGGAACAGGCTAAAATATACAATTTACCCAAGAACACAAAGAAGCTTAGCCACAAGCATCCTGTCTAAGCCATGCTTTTTTGAGTCCCAATTCATTGCCCTTTCCATAGTGTATCGATTCCTGGCCCATAGTCTTTACGATCTGTGGCTCTAAGCAAAACCCGAGTAAAGGTGCGTGCCATGAAGTTGGACAGCTGCATGAACAGGTGGGCCTGCAGGAGTCTGCTAATGGAGGACTTGGACAATGCCAACCAAAAAGCAATTTCAAAAGAGAGCATTGCAGCCAGGTATGAAGCAGGAAATCCCAAAGGAAGCAAAAGCAGTCGTTAGGAGAACAGAGGTTGGGAAAAAGAGGTAGGTACAAGCACATCACAGTGATTAAGCTACTGGCCACCCACCAAACTCCACTGAAGAAGAGTGCAAGAAGGCTGAAGTTCTGCTCTTGGCTGCACACACAGGGCTCCCTCCGACTGCAGCAGGACTCCTGGGCAAACACCCAGGAATGTGACTCAGTTTTGTGATATATAATACATGATAGAACAAAAACAGCAATTCCAGTGTTCTTCCCTGGGTTTACAACATATTGGGATTTTCAGTCTCTAAAGAAAGAACCAGTGTTGAGGATCATTCACTGCCCCAGGGAAACACCCACAAATAGCACTATATTCCATTCTCTCTCAATTACCCGTGTGATTTCAGCTAAGTGTCCTCTCCTGTCCACACAACAAAACAAAAAATGAGTCAAGCAAGGAAGCGGGAAAACTGCTTGTGGAGAAGGAGTGGTGGGGGCATTGATGTGAATTAGAGATAAGAAAAGGAAGTCATTTCTTAGCTCTCCTCCACCCTTAGTTATAAACAACAACAGGACAATGGAACTAGACACACATTTTAGCAAAACACCTCAATTTGTGCCTTGATGCATCATAACGGTTATGTCCCCACCCTGTATCACTTTCACATTCTATTAATGAGCAAGATCAATAAAATGTAGTATTATAATTATTTTTTACCACTGTTGTTGACTTTGGCTTTGAATCCTAACTTTTCAAAGGGCCTATATATCAGATTTCCCAATTCATGTCTACAACCTGACTCAAATTTTAGTCTTTGCATTATAATCATTGTATGCCCTGTATCCTCTCTCTCACATTAAAGCACAGAACTAGACTAAAGCAACAGTTTTAAATGCTGAAGAAAAACCAAAAGGAAATGTTGTAATATATCAGTAATCCATTGATAACATTTCATGTTTAGCACATGTTTCTTGATTGAAACCTAGACACATTCCATTTAGGAACTGCTTTCATTTTTCTTGTAAAAAGTAATTCACTATACAGATGATCTGGCAATGAAGATCAACTGTACTATGTTTTCATTTGGCACATTAACAGACAAGCCAAAAAATATTTATCACGCTTTTATAAGTTACATTTCCCAAACCCAGAGCTGTGGCAAGGAAGTTTAGCACTCAGGGCAGAGCCTGCAGCAGCAGCCCTCCCTCTCCCCATGCACAGATCTGGGGGGCACACAGCCCCACCATGCTTGCCCAGGAATGCACACAGTGATGGGAGCTGCCCTTCCCTCATCCCCTTGCCCCCCACAAATGAGTCGCTCACAACTCTGTCCTGTGCCCTACCCCAGCTGGGCAGTACTTGTTGGCACCCCTCTGCTTTGGTGCCTGGGGCGATTGCCACCCCCCACCCCTACGGTGTTGTCCAAACCTTTAGTACTTACTTTCCAGAGCTGGTCCCCTTCATGTGATCTGTGTAGATATATATATCTGGAATGAACTTATTTAGGATGCTTCGTGCTGAATCCACAATTCTGTTTACCATCTGTGGTGACACTCTGACTGAAAATCTACATTGTGATGTCAAGGATTTTACTATGATCAAAAGACACCTAAAAACCAGGAGATATGCAAGGCAAAGAGGTCTCAATGCCAACCATCTCCTCTCATGAACTGCCTCCATTCCTTGCTTTCTACAAGATCATTTAAGAACTCTCTGTTGAAAACAGATATAGAGAAACCTGTATAGAAGACTATCCTACTATAATTAAACAAACCCACATCTTAAATGAGTCTGTTGAGGGATATTTTAAAGAGATATTGCATCAGCTTCTGTTTCTTCATGATGTGTAGACCTGAATGTTTTGTTCATTCACCCTTAAAGAATCTCCTTGGTGCTGGGAAAGGAGTGCTCATTTCTGTATCTAAAAAGTATCAGGCATGTTCTATCCAATCCTTCCTGCTTGTTTAAGCACCTCTCTTCAGGCAAACCTCTCCCATCATTAAAGAAGCCAGGATACAAGTTTTCAAACAAAGACATCTCTCCAAAATGATCATTAGTTAGTGAAGTTAAAGAAGTATCAGCAAAAAACTCTAAAAATATTCCAAACAGTACTAATTAAGTTTTTGCCATCACATTGTGCTCACCACTCACTCTGAACTCTTGCAAAGCTATCAGTTCACTCATTCCCTAGTCACCATAAAATATCTTTTTTTTTTAAACAGACAATGCCTTTTGTCTCTTTATACACCAAGAAAAGGAAAAAGCCAACTTGCATCTCTCCCTCTTTACTTTACCTTCAAAAGACATTCCCAAAGCATTACCTAGTACACGTCTGCTCTGGCTTTATTAAAATGTGCCACTTCTATGAAACTACCAGTTGGAGCTGGGCTAAACATGCTAAGCTAAGTAAGCTAAGCATACATAGGAAAGGAACAGAAAGGCTTTGCCTTCAGGCCCTGTCACTTCATTTTTTGTCTGCTATTTTTTGTCATACCACGGCCCAACTGACTGTCTCCTGACTGTCCCAGTCCATGCCCACCACCCACTCTTTTGAACTAGATATACTCTTGCTCTAAAGTCTCCTTCTATACAGCTTATTATATTTTAAATGATCCAGATAGTCAAATTAAAGGCAGTAAATAATGATTAGCAAACTGATCCCTGTCCACAGTTTATATGAGGGTACCAATAACTCTTGGGAATCAAAGGCACAGTGTAAATGTAAGACTGCACTACCACAGTGGTTTTCAACCTATGATCCACAGACCCTTGGGGGTCTGCAGACTACATCTAACAGGTCTGTGAAAGACTGATCAATCAAAAGTGTGTGAATACACACACTTACAACTCAAAGGGGTCTGTACCTCCATTTGTAATTTTGTAGGGGCTTGCAAATGAAAAAAGGCTGAAAATCACTGCACTACTACAAAAGCACAATGGATACAAGGAAGAAATTCTGCACAGTTGTACATTGGGACAACACTCACATCCAAAAGAGGGCTCCTAGGCTGGCAGAAAGCAAAATGACACACTTAACAATGCTGCTTCCAATCTTGCTTTCCGGACAACCCCCTGCCTCAAAGTCTCCTGGGAGCAAGATCAGGGCAAAAGAAAAGGGAAGCCACAGTGTAAAGGGGGAAAGTGGTTCACATACAAAGCTCAATTCCAGTGTTTTCAAATGCAGACATGGCATCTAAGTTCACAAAGCAGAAATGAGAAGGACACAGAGAAGCTTCATGGAAGTTGAAGTTCTGGAAAGACTATGATAAAGAGTGTGACACTATCAAACATGTAAATCCTTCCTTGTTGACTGATTCAATGCACATACTGTAACAAAGACTAGTGATACTGTACCAATCCGAAGACTGTAGGACAAGATACTTCATTCTTTTGCATGTTAGAAGGGAGGTGATGAGGAAGGGCCACAAATAAAAGCTGATTACACTGCAAGTCACTTCATTTGATCTGGTTTTCTTCTTTGCAACAATTTAAAAATTACTTCCAAACAATCCAGTTTCTGAGTTACAGTTATATTCTAAGCTACTAACAAGCCACAGCTCATAGGGAGTGTGAATTCCAATTCTTTCATGCCCAAGAGGGAACAGAATACCTGCACTTCTGATCAAGAAAAGTTCTTGCCATCTCTGAGGGAACAGAAGGTTCGAGGAAGACAGAGTGTGAAAAAACAAGAACTAAATAAAAGGATCTGTTCTGTGGAGCCTTGGTGTTATAATTTGCATTTTGCTATAGTGTACTCTTTTCCCAGCATTTCATCACTCCATCTCTGACAGTGCTACTAAGGTTTAAAAACGAATCCATTTTTTAATAAAACCACCAATGCTCGAGTGCACATGTGTTCCATGCAGCTTAATTCTAGGCTCCCATCCAACATGCATTTAGTCTCATCATTATAAAAAGAAAAGCGCCTATCAAGTGAAGCTACAATAAAACTAAGTTTGTTGCTTTTTAAAAAATAAATCAAATACTGAAATTGGCTTTCCAGGAGCACTGTATGATACATGATTAGAAAGTGTGTATATTTTTCTTGCTACTTAAGCAAACATTTTTAATCTATTTTAATGTTATAGACTGGTTTACAGACAAAGGGCTTATATGCAGCAATTTAATCAATCACTGTGATCATACCACTGGGTACCAAGCATGACAATCTCACTGTGTCACTCTGCTGTCCTTCTCTCCCCTTACCTCCACACATGATAAAATGTAGTCTGTGGAAAATTAAAAAAAAAAAATTCCTGGAAAGCAGGGAGGGAAAGAAAAAAAAGATACGCTGTTCCTCTGATGCGCTTGATCTTGCCAGGATCTGTGAACTGAATGGGCTGCAAGGTTTTCCTTACTGGACAGGAAAATACCACCTCCCCACCCCCTTTGGGGGGCATTCCTCTTCTGGTGATCTAGAAACAGGCAGGGAAGAGAAAACAGGTAAGTGGAATAAACGGACAAACAAACACAAGGAATACATTTACAAATCAAAGCTGACAGCTCTTCTCCTCCCAGCATTAGGTATTAACCATAGGGGCTGGTGTCCTGTGTGAATGCGGGTAGGTAAAACTGATACCTAGAGAAGAGACATTTAATTTGACCCAGGACTGACTCTACCGGTGTTTGACTTGGATCCAAAACAGGAGCAGCACAGTCATTTACATACATTTTTCTTCCAAGCTGCATTGCTACTCCTTTGCCAGAAGGTGGCTAGTGAGAGCATACAGACCAACCAGCTTGTCCCTGGAATGAATGGCAATAACCGTACAGAGCAGTGGTTCTCAACATCTTTACATTCAAGACACCCTCTCAGAAAATGCCAGTGCAGAACAATCCTCCTGTTGCAAAGAACTCAGAAAGACCAGAACAGGTCAGAATGTTTGGAACACTATGGATTCCAATTAGAAATCTCTGGGTTTATTTTGTGAATCATGTTTGCACACCTAACAATGCTAACATTGCACAGTGCCCCATGGCATCCTTGTAAAGATCTCAATGCAGCAGCACCCTGGTTGAGAATCACTGGCATAGATGTACAACAGGATGACTCAGGAAAAAGTGTTAGTACATTTTACCCGGCATACTTCAGAGGGACTTAAAGCAAGACAACGGTTGTGGACATCTGTACAATCCCATGACAAAAGGCTCTCTCGGGACAAATATGACTTCTATTTAAAGCCTTAAAGTAATGCAAGAGCCAATTCAGGTGAAAGATCATCCTCTTTCTGATCCAAAACAGGCATGACATTGCCTCCCTCTGAAACACTTCCACCGAGCATTAAGCACGAGCAGCAATAACTGCAGAGCTGTGCCTCAAAGCTAGAGAAACAACGTGCATCGGAAAGAGGATAATGAGGATTCTCAGGTGTTTGACATGCAAGGGGCTAAATCAAATACTCGACTCACCCCCACAAAACAAACAAAGCAACAAAGACACAGATGTCTCAGGCAGTCAGAAAGAGAAGATGCTTTAAATAATTAACCTGTGTGCACACGAAACAGGTACAAAAAAATTATGTCAATACTTAGGAACTCAAAGTGGCAGAAAGCAATGTATGCAGTGAGGTAGAATTTTGGAAGGTTATTTTTAAATGCTTTTAGGTTTAAAAGGACCACAGTTTCCTTCATACATCCCAAACCTTACTTTCAGACCCAGGTTTTTGGGACCTGCAAAATCTATAGCCATTTAATGAGTGTAGTGGAGAGGTCTCTCTAAACTATCTACCACAGTTCTGGGGTTCAGCTGTTCACTGCCAGTAGCAGAGGTAAAGGAGACAGAAAACTGCACTATTACTCTCTGGTCCTCCCATGGGCTGGGGAGTGAAATACAAGGAGACTGAATGGACTGAAAAGAAAAATAGCAATGGCTTTTTCTAAGGGAGCTCCCTTCTTGAAAGCACAGAGGCAGAAAGGGACCTTGGCGTCGTTATTAACTCCAAGATGAACATGAGCCGCCAATGCCAGATCGCAGCCAGCAAGGCCACCCATACCTTGTCATGCATCCAAAGGTGCATCTCAAGACAGTCCAGAGAAGTGATACTCCCCCTCTATGCGACTTTGGCCAGGCCGCAGTTGGAGTACTGTGTCCGCTACTGGTCGCCGCACTTCAAAAGGGATGTGGCCAGCCTGGAGAGGGTTCAGAGGAGG